TTCTGTCAATGCTATCAGTAAATGAAAAGATGGTTCTTGCCCTGATATAAGAAAGGTAATGACAGTACATTTTGAAGACATAAGCAAACAGGTTGAAAAAGTATTTTTGATATGCAAAAATGGTCAGACTGTGGTTATAACAGAGATCAGATGAAGGTTACTGCAGTAAAGTATATGGAAAGTACATTCTGTAGCATGTAAAAACTGTGGCCAATTATATAGAAGATAAAGCAAAATAACGAACTAAATACTCTCTGTAAGGCAAATTGGGCATAATGCAAAAATCAGAGAACTATAGTATGTACATTTGCATTTATACCAGAGGTTTTCATTGTAGACACTGCAAATTACACCTTAATCTGGAAATTAATAATATAAATGTGCAATTACAACTGATAACATAAACTTGTAATTTAATAATGATGCTTGTTGCTGACATTCTAGCAAGCAATGAATAAATGCAACTATAACATTAGGCCTTATTTAAGAAAGGAGCTGATTTTGGTAACTCTTTACCAACATAGAGATGGCACATTTTCTTTGGTGTGAAAATGTAAAGAAGTGTTTACTTCTATAGGAAGTTTTGCCTTTAATACTCTTTCTCACTTTCAGTTCATTAATGTAGGATTGGTTACAATCAACATGGTTCAAGTGTTACTACCCCCCAAATAGTCAACACATGACAGCTCCAGATAACACTTTCTCCCAACCCTTTGCTTTTACTGCTCCCTATATCATTGTGTCTACAGGGAGAATGCCTATACAGAAATTTCTCTGAGAGGACCACCACTGAGCTTTAAACAGAGTCCTAGCTTATGATAATTACTTGTGCCCTCATTATCATGCAATTAGACTATTTTAATGCATGCTACATAAAGCTGGCTATGAAGATGACTTGCAAATTGCAATTGGTCCAAAATGCAGTGGCCCAGATGTTAATGTGAATAAATTTAACAGTACAGCACTAGTGCCTCAGTCAATACACTGGCCACCAACAGAGGTGATATGAAGTGCTGGTCTTCACCCATAAAGCTCTACATGACTTGGTTCCTGTGTACCTTCAGGACCATCTCTCTCAACCAGACTTTGTCTGTCCTGTGTGTTTATCCCAAGAGGTGAAGTAGAGGGTCCTCATCTTAACTGAGGAGAAGATGATGGAGGTCTGAAGTTGATCCTTGGTGATGGTCCCCACGTTTGCTTCTGAAATTCAGCTCCTCCCATCCTGCTACTCTTCTGAATGTCTGCTAAGACAATTTTGTTCTGTGGAACTCTTGGCACTAATGCTGGTCATGGTCTGCCTTTTTTATATGACCCACTTTAGTATATCACATTTTATTGTGTTTTTATCAGGTTGTATATGTGTTTAGTGTTTGGGGATTGTTTTAATGTTGTGGTTGTCACTGTTAATGTAAATGACCCAAAGTCTCTGAAGTGAGCAATATATAGAGTTTTATAAATAAGCAAATAAGTAATTAAAAAGCTTTGTATCTGAATCACCAAACATTATTGGTCAATAAAGTCTGTAAAGGACCATTAACTGGGCACTAAAAAAATACTAACTCAGCTGTTCCACTTCTCCTCAGGGTTAATGGTTGAGATACCTCACCCTACCATCCTTGGGGATTTCATGGTTACCATGATAAGAGTAGGTTTACTGAAAATCATCATAGGCCTGATGCATAAAGGACCCACATGTTAGACCTGATTTATAACTTAGAATGCAAGCTAGTGGAGGGGAACTACACCCCTGACATGAACTGATCACTTTCTGGTGACCACTGGCTAAACTAATGCTACAAACCTCTGGCCCACCTTTGGGAGATGGGATCAAACAGATCAGTCTCCCTAGAAGCCTGATGTATCCAGCTGGTTTCTATACAATGTTTCAGACTTCCAGAATCTGGAGAGTAGTTCTATGGGGAGCCTAATCACCCTTGATATTGAAGCAGCAGGGGCTGTCAACAGGATTGCTCTTGGGTGGTCTTTACCTGTATGCAGATCCCAAAAAGCCTCCTGGTTTTCTGAGAAATTCTGGGAGGTGAATGTCAGAGATGTCTAGAGCATCACTAGGAGAAGTCAAGGAATTAATTCAACTGCATGAGTACACACTCAAATTTGAGCTTATGCCTTGATAATAAGGTGAAGCAGAATTATTTTCTGTGTTTATTGCGTCTGTGGAGTGGCATCCAGCAGCCCATTTCTAACAAAGTAAAAAAAGAAAAAAAGAAAAAGTAGCTTGGACCTTTTTAGAGAAGGATGTGCCAGAAGAGCCTTTAGAAGGCTGTTATATGTTGTTTAGCAGAACACTATGCAGAGAATATCACCTTTAATTGCTAGGAATTAGAAGACAACTGGACAGAAACTAAAAGAGGTGCCAAGGGTACAATGTTATCTGGGAAGAGTTAGAACCTGTGGATCCTGAGAAAGTCTACAGAGTCCTTCTAGAGATGAGCTCTGCTACCTGTGGGCTTAATCCCTCTCCCAACTGGCTTGTTTGTGTTGCCTGGGAGAGAATGGGAAGCTGGATCCAGACAATTATGAACTATGGGAAGGGAGATGTCAATGACTTTGAAGAGTTCTGAATTCTTTGGCCATTTTCAGCTGAACTGCTACTTATGGACTTTCCAGGGCAGGCGTATCTGGCTATACTAGTTCATGTTCAGATAAATTAGCACAATCTGTTCTACCTCAGGCTGCCTGTGAGGGTGATTCAAAAGTCACAGCTAATGGCAAAAATGACTGTTGTTAACAGCAACATATACTAGTGATGTCCACAATGTTTCTGATTAAATTCCACAATGGTAGTATTGATATTCAGGGCAACACATAGAGGGCTTCTTCCAATATTTATCTGGCATTATACCATTGGCATCTGTAATCACCCAGAGATACAACCTTCTATGATGTGGGACTCTGGCTACAGAATGACTTTCTTTTGGAGATTCAACTGATGTTCATGTTAACATCATTTCAGCATCCAATTAAGACCTAGCTATTTACACAAGCCTTTGAGGCTCACTGAGTCCAGCTTAGTGTAATTTAGTTTATGGTTTGTTTGTTTTTTAAAAAATAGCTGCTTTATTTGACAGTTAATATCCTCACAGTAAAACTATTTAGTATGGATTTAATTTAATTATTAATAATTTAATAGTTCAAATAATTGCAGTGTTATTGTTTAAATTCTTGTCCATGACCTAAACATTACTGTGATGTAATGTATACTTGAATTCCACCAATGCCAGTCCTAAGCCTGGATGAGAAAGAAAGAAAGTTGGGCTTCAGGCTGGCAACCCAACTCTATACATTTAACCATTACTGAAAAAACAGATGCAATTCAATGAGATCTAATTGGAATCAGTGGAGAGCAATTGTTGCCAAATGTGCTATTCAGCACAGGCAAACCTAGCTTGAAATCTAAGATACATACTTGCCAAGGAATGGCATGAGACTGGGTACATGAAAACTATATAATGGATGACTATGCTCTTGTGCCTTTTAAGTCATCTTAGTGCAATCCCAGTTCCCCTCTCACCCCCTACATAGTAGAGCAATACTTACATGGTTTCTATTTTTTAACTAGCTACTAAATTACAAGAATTCATTTGCACAACTGACTGATAATTCCAGCTACCAAGTTTTATGGCTGTGTACCAGTTTAGCGTGAATCTTGAAACCCAAATGCATAGGGATAATTCCACAGTTTTTAATTCACTCAAAGAAGAATTAACAGCTATTTTTCTCTCTCCCTGATTCAAAATCTTCCATGAAGTTCCACTTCAGGAAATCTGTTACACTCCAACAACTGTTTCTAAGCAGCATTGGTTATGGCTCTTGTGAAATGCATTGATGCAAAAGGGAAGGAGGGAATGGGAATAGTGGTTTCAATGACTAAGAGGTTTACTTTCAAATCAGACTGATCTTTGTGATCAGACTATGATCATTTGTCCAATCATAGAATCTTGCTTCTCTCACTGTTCCCCATTTTCCATCCACAGAAGAACGAAAACTTGTAGCTCTCTAAACTACCTGACTGGTTTAAGGACATTCTCTTTTACAGAAAAAAATGAGTGGGTTAATCTTTTATATTTGTGTATTTCAGCCCCTGGTAGTCAGCTTCACTGAATTCAAGAAGGGGCATCATTATTTCTTATGACCACCTTCCATTTGCACAAAAAAAATCCAATTACTTTTTCTGTCTGAAATTTGTCACATATTTCTCACTAAAGAATCAATTCTCCCAACAAATTGTATTACACTATGACTCAAAACAAAAACATTATGCTTACTGTTTTATAACTTCAGAATTTAAAAGACTGTAATTTGAAAACTCCTGCACCAATATCAATAACATCTGGCATATTTCACTGCTTAACAACCATATAGCTTTTCTGGTAAAAGGAAAAAGGTTATGGGTGCTTAGAAAAAACAGTTTAAAAGCATGCAGCTCAAAGACCCCTGCTTATAATGTTGTGACTTGTTCGCATATTTTATATTTATTTATCTGATAAATACATGACTATATCTTTTTTGATTTTAAAAATATTTTTCCCAGTGATAAATAATGGAAAGAGTCCATTCCTGCTGATCCCTGCAAGCCAGTCTCCAGAAGCATATCGGGTGATTCTTTCATAGTCAAGCCAAGTGACAGATGCTTTTTTTTTTTTTAAAGGAAATGTTGCAAAGTTCAGCTTAATATAGGGAATCTTACCAAAATTATTTCTGCAACCTATCTTAGCTATCATACGAACATGTTGTATGATTTTATAGATTTAATAGATAACACAAACACATTTTAACATATTTTCTGAAGCTATATTTTACCAATTACTCAATTATAAATAGCCTTCTCTTTCATGAAAAATTATACACAGCTTAGAATACAAGGGAAAAAATGATGAGAAGCAATAAACCCCTGAAAGCTAGAGTGCTGTGCCTGGAACTATATTGAAAACATTCACTTGAACATTTTCTTCCTATTATTCTTTTATGTGGGCTTTTACCTGGGCTTTCTATAATCTATAATGCCTGAATCAGAGTATCTTGTACAAAGAGTATGTAAGGGCTGAAGCTTAAAGACAGAACAAAATAATTGTAGGAGTTGTAATACTCAAAACATTCTTCTTACATTGCTAGAACAGTTGTATTTCTTGATACTTCCACACAACATTTAAAATACCTTGGTTACTAAACAAAACCTGAAGATAAACATTATGTCTACTTACTGGCACACTGTTCAGAATTTCTGCATCCTTTACCAGAGTTTCATTTTCTATTTTGACAGGCAGCATCCCTATAGAATCTCACAAAGACAACTTTTACTTTGCCTCTTACTTTGTTCATTTTAGCAAAAGAGAACAGGGATTCTGCAGGTGTAAGAGTTATGGCTCTCTCCTATACAAATAAAATGCAGCCTACCAGGTGAACATGTGAACAATAGAAGCAATCCAAATTTCTCTTTTATTTCTTATTATCCCCAGATTCTAATGTTTTGCAAGGAGAATGGTAGCAGTTCTTATAAATAGCATTTACATTTGTGATTAGCTACATTTTAACCATGTTTAAATAAATACTATTTATTTATATTTCAAATTTATCACTGCCCATCTCACTGCAGAGCAACTATGGGTGGTTTACAGTAAAAAAATAAATATTAATTAAAATAGAATAAATAATAATTAAAAACACATTACAAAAGGTTCCTGTATGAATAATAAATAGCATCCAAGAAGCTGATGTTAACTAAGAGTAGACACAAGGAGCATCTTCAAGGCGCCAGCCACCCCCAGAGTTGGTTGTATCTCCTCTCACCCCATGCGAGTTGGCAGAGTCAAGTCTTCACCCCTTTCCACATGGTCGGAGAGTTAATGTTCTATTGTCTACAACTTGAGCACTGTATGGTACTTGAGAATTGATTTCTTTGACACAGAAAACAGACACGTAGAAAGTCAAAACCCTTCCTTTTCACCATTTGGTATGTAAGGAAACAAAAACGCAAAAATTAAAACATTATTAGTAAAGCCTTACAACTGACATTCTTTCCAGAAATTATTTCCTATTGTAGGAGAACAAGCCAGCACCATGTGAAGATGGATTCAGTCCATTCCCCACTCTAACATTCCAGTAAAATGAGATTAATTATCCACTAAAATAACCTTGGAGGCTTCCCATCACTGTGTTCATCCTAGTTCTGTCTCTTTCCTATGTGTCTGTCTTTCTTCTGCTTTAATTATGTTATGTTCTCAATAAATTACAGGAGTTGATGTTATCCATACTCATTTATGATATTAACAAAGACACAGTTTGAGAAAATTCTCACACTTTCTGCATTTTGACAGTAAGCAAACAGCAATTATCCAAAGTACATAATTATACCATAATGCACTGAAGGAGAAAATAGGGGAAAAAATTGAAGAGTGTTATTGAAATGAGGTTCTGACAGTGCCTATAATATTGAAACAATTGATGCAGTCGATTAGCAGTCAATATAAAATTCAGCTGCATTTTTCTCCGAAGGAAATACTGCTAACAGTGTCTCTGTTTTGGAAATGTAAAGATCAATACATAACAGCCAGGAATTCATATTTTATATTTGACAGTTTCTGCTTCAAAATCAAGTAACAAGAACTTTAACACAGCTACTATATGGATATTATTCCCTCTAAGAACAAACTCAGCTGTAACTGTGAATAAAAAAAATGCTTATTTTATTTTAGTTATTTACTAAATTCATAAGCCAGCTTTCTAGTCTGGCAAGTTACTTAAATTGCCTAACAACATTTAAAAAGTAAAAATAGAACATAAAAAAGGAAAAACATAAATTCTCGCAAAAACACTAAAACCAGCAATTTAAAATGTAGTAAAAGAGAAACACCCTTGCACTTTCCATAATCTGAGAGCATAGAGATCTTCTTCTGAATGCAAAAAATTACCTGTGAAAACCAATGAATATTTAAAAGATCCTCTTTTTTAGATCTTAACAGCTGTACAGGTTTATAATGATTTCTTTGACAGTCTAAACCACAAGCTATTTAGGGATTTAAAAGTTAGTACCAATATTATAAATAGTGCTGGAAAAGCAACTAGCAACCAGTGCAAATCTTTCTGTATATGCATCTGTTAGTAATCCAACTGCCAGATTGTGTACCAACTGCAATTTCCAGACATTTTTAAGAGTAGTCTCACAGAGTACACTACAACAGTCATGACAAGATGTAGCAAAATATTAATCACTGTCAACAAATGCAATTGGCTCAGTCAGGACTGCAACTAGTATATCAGATACAATTGTGCAAAAGTTCCCCTTGCCACATCTGCCACCTGTGAATCCAGTAACAGCTGAGGATCGAGGAGTACTCTAGGAGTACAAACTTGCTCTTCCAGGGTTAGTGCAATTTCATCCAGAACAAGCTGAACTTAAATCAAGTTTCCTATTTATCCACAGCACCTCCATCTTGTCTTAATTTCAGTCCTTTCTAGATTATTCAAACCATTATTCATTAGGCAACATCCAAGAATGCCAACTGTTTCCTGGAACTGAAAAGAGCCATAAGGCTAGCAGATACCAGCATACTCCAAAATCAAGGATGACCATCAATATCAGTTTCATGTAGGCCATGTGGAACATCAAAGGCCAGCAGACTTGAAGATGGACTAGGAGTCACCTAACATCACCTTCTAGACACAGCCAACCAGAAACAACAGTGCCCACAAATCCAGTCCTAAAAGATGGTCTGAAGGACACCAGTGGTACTAAAACTAGTTGAAAACCATATTCTGCATTCACTTTCTGACCAAGGCAGTTTCATTACTTTATCCCAAGTGAAACTGTTTGATATGGGTCCAGATGATCAGTAAGTTTCAAATATGTCTCAAGTTGTTTTGTATAACTTCCTCAATTGTATTTTCTAGAAATATAATGTGGGCACTCGTCTATAGTTTTACAGATCTGTTGGGACAAGGAGCATGCTTTCAGCAGAGATTTTATAACATCTCCTTTAGGCATAAATGGATAGGTGGCACACTCCACCCAAAAGTAGGCCCTGACCATTTCCCTTCACCATGGAGCTAATAGGGGGTTGATGATCAAGTCAGGATGGTCAAGAATTGAGGAAGCAAGAAGTACAGCCCTCATATCTCCACATACCCTGCCCACAACTTCAAGAGCTACAAGCCAAAAGCAATTTTTTAGAAAGTGGGAAAAAGCAGTTCCCAGTATTACACCCTTATTATCTGCTCCAATAACTGGAGACACAGTCATATGATTTGGTCTGTAAAGAGTGACACAAACTACCCACAGTGACCACCAACTGTTATGATTTCTCCCCTACTAACATCTTGATGAAGCACATGCTGCACAATGAGAACAGACGGTATCATGGAGTAGGACTTCAGGACCACCTGAAGGGGAGTTTATGAAATAATAATAAAATTACTGAAGGGAAATATACTTCATTTCTATGTTCAATGTCCCATCATCACTCGGCTGCTAATAAATCAAAGGCCTGATTTGGCTCTACCAAAGGGAAGAGGGCACTTAAAAGAAGCAGTACCTTTTTGCTGATTCTTTGCTACTCCAGGGATTGTTCATGACAATGCAATCACGTGGGTTCTTCCACTTCAGTTGACTGGTGACACTCAAATGCCAAATCTAATATATAAATTCATGGGGCTAGTTACTAATTGGGACAAGTCCATAATCATGAAATCCTGGAAACAGAGTGATATTATATTCAAAATGAAACATGAATACATATAGCAACATAGTGTCATTACATGTATTTTAAAGGTCACATAGGGTCAGCTATATCATTAAGGAAGAGTGAGGGAGCAACTGCATTTTCTCCTCCATATCCCATATTCTTCAGTAGTTCCCTATAATCTAGTGCCATAAACTAGATTCACATCTGAGATCTTGTAGAGCAGGGTTCCTCAACCTCAGCAACTTTAAGATGGGCGGATTTCAACTCCCAGAATTTCCCAGCCATCATGGCTGACTGGGGAATTCTGGGAGGTGAAGTCCAGCCATCTTAAAGTTGCTGAGGTTGAGGAACCCTGTTGTAGAGGAAGCCAACCCATTAACTGTGTGTCCAACCAATTTCTGCATGAGAATGAGGACAGGTTGCTGTCTTGTCCTTTGACCCTGGAAGCAAAATTCTTGGGCCAGACAATGAGATAATGTTGAGTCTTCCTTATCCTTATTTTGTAGGTTTTATAATAATAACCATTCTAACCATCAGTCTCTTTCCTTTTTGTCCTTCACAAGCTATGGAAATATGTAGGAATTACCTTTGACTTTTCCATGCCATAACTTGTTTTATATCTGTGAGCTGCTGTGAAGACTATTTGTACATTTATTGTGGAAGCTGAAAACCAAGGTGAACAGAAAAGTACATGACATAAAGAGGCTATATTTCCCTCCAGTAATTTTATTATTATTTCATAAACTCCCCTCCAGGTGATCTTGGGCATCTCAATGAATATCAATCTTTGCACAGCAGGTTTTGATGAATACTCCAGCTCATCATGGAAAGAAGGGACAAAAAAGTAATATAAGAGCTTTGGAAATACTAGTGGGCTCAGCATGTCAGGAATGTTTATTACCACTGAGCCATGAACAGGATGCAGAGGTTCTCTCTCTGTTTTCTTTCCCCTTTTTTTCTTTTTTTCTTTTTTCTAGTGAAAAAGCTAGACAAAAATCAGTAGGTGTGCCAATAATCACTCCAAATGGAATAGCTGAAGCAGCTGAAGCTGCAAACTCTCAGTTTATAAGGACATAAACTCAGATCTTAGTATTTGTTTTCATTATGTTCTACTTCTCAATTAAATATTGGTCTGCATATTTGAATAGTACAAGGGCTGAACTTTAACTTCATCTGATGTTTTGATTTTTTCTTTACTATTTTGGTAGCTTGGAATTTTTACTGCCCTCATAGTACATATACATTGCTGCATCACAGAATTTAAAAAAAAAAAAAGAAATTTCCAGACCCTCATTGATTTTTTTTCAAAATGTTTTCCTGAAATCATATTTTGTAAGCTTTAAATTTAAATGCTTTAACTATTTTCAGGCTTAACTAAGGACACATTCAAATTATATACATTAGAAAAGTTTCCATAACTCCACATGCCTCTTGAGGCAAGCTACAGTCTTTGAGGGTGACATCATTGCTTTAAATTCATAAGTTGGAACAAATGCTGAAAGTCAAACAGTGAAGAACTTCTGGTAGATGGGTGGCTATATAAATGTGTGTGTGTGTGTGTGTGTGTGTGTGTATGTATTCATTCTCCA